TCAAAAAAGTTTATTCAAACTGCATAACTATGTACAAAACTATTTATTATAAATGGTAAAAGAACAATTACTACCATTTGTAATATTAATTTAATGGCAAAGCACAGCTCACTCACCTACTAATATTTGAAACTACACAATACTTACTCCTTCAAAAATAGTTGTCATTGTGACATGTCGAGAATGCAGTTTTTAATTTTTCGAAAATGTATTGATATAAATGCCATCAGATGAAATTTTGTATGTAATACGAATCATAAACAATCATTATGGCCCACGCCGTGTTATCGGACTCGGCTACGCCTCGCCCGATAACATTCACGACTTGTACCATAATGATCGTCTTCATGATCCTTATTACATAAATAACTATTATGCACTAGCGGGCCGTAAAGTGCACTTTACCGCCCGGTTTTGCGGGCGTTAAGTCGCACTTTACCGCCCGCGGGCTCATTATGGCCCCCGGGCCGTAAAGTGCACTTTACCGCCCGCTGTTCTCAGTCACCTTATATCCACGTATCAATTCATGAAAAACCTATGATCATATTCCTAGATTCTAATGAATATATCCAGCGGTATATCATAAACTTCTTCTTTATCCGATTCCATAGTCTCGCTATTATTATTATCACAATTTTACTTTTCAGTCAAAGAATGACAATTCAGCTCGTTTATTGGATGTATTGCTATAGACAACAACCACCAGATTGATTGACAACGTCAAAATAAGTTAGGTTTATATACTGGGTATGCATATTGTATATAAAATTCTGAAGAATGCTAATCTCTTCTAGAGCTGAAAGAGTTTAACTATTATGATAATTGCAATATTCGTAGGATAATTTTCATATGTAAATCATTCATGAACATTACGCTTCCCTTGATTACTGAATTAATACGTGACAAATTAAATTCTGGGGAATATTAGTTAACGAAATCTATAGTCATTACTTATGATTCAGAAAATAAACCACTAGTGCATAAAATTTTGTATGTATCTCGTGCGTGAAATGCGTTTATGGCCTTCAGCGTGTAATGGCCCTCGGCTAGCGCCATCGGGCCATTATTCACGCCACAGGCCATAAACGCCTACTTTACGCCCTTGATACATAAATAACTATTATGTTCCTGATTTGAGTAAAAATTTACTTTCTGTCAATGCCATAACTAAAAATGAAGGTGAAGTTATTTTTCGTAATGATGAAGTATTCATCATAAAAAACAATAAAATAATATTGCAAGGGAAAAAAACAGAATGGACTTTATCATGTGAATCTCGACAGAAATCTAGAAAAACCAGAAGAAACCTTATTGACGGTGAATGGGGATATCACAACCTGGCACAGAAAATTAGGACATTTGAGTGGATCAAATATGAGAAAATTGAATGGAATGGCAACAGGAATGGATCTACAGAAGAGAGACTATGAAAGATTTGATGAAACCTGTGAAATTTGCTTACAATCAAAACAGACAAGATTACCTTTATTTATGTGGACCGATAGATCCAATTACATGGGATGGCAATAGACATGTACTTACTTTTCTGGATGATTATACACATTTTTGCATGGTATATCTTCTGAAATATAAACCTGAAGTACTGGAGTACTTAAAAAACTACGTCAGTGAGGTAGAAGCATTCAAAACTACGAAAGATTCGAAAATAAGATGTGACAATGGAGGTGAATATGTTAATAGAGATCTTCAGAATTGGTGCAGAAGTAGAGGAATCATCCTGGATTATACTATACCTCATACACCTCAATTGAATGGAAAATCTGAAAGACTAAATAGAACACTTATGGAAAAAGCTCGAGCACTCATCTTCGTTTCAACCATGATGAAAGAATTTTGGGGTGAAGCTGTGCTCGTTTCTGCATATTTATTGAATAGAAGCCCTTATTCTTCTATGGATGTGACTCCCGTGGAAAAATGGACGGATCGTAGACCAGATTTGTCACGATTACAGATATTCGGTTGTGAAGCGTTTGCAAAAACATTGGGGTACCTGAAAAAGCTGGATAGTCGTAGCCAGAAGTATACGTTTGTTGGTTATGCACTGAATGGTTATCGCCTCTGGGATGCTGAAAAAAGACAAATCATCATTCGCAGAGATGTTTTATTCAAAAATAATCTGAACGCTGGTTCTGACAACGCAGTCAAAAATATGAGAGCTGTCATAAACATGTCAGATGACAGTGATCATGATAATCATTGTGATAACCATGGTAACGAAGAATTTTTAGAAAATGAATTACAGGGTGATAGAGATTCAACAGATGATATAGAATCGAATGAAAATGATACAGTTTCGAGAAGAGAGGTAGAATCGGAAAGAAATGGACTAGAAATACAGAGTGATCCTGATTTAGGAGAAGGAACTCGACAGAGGACTCACAGAAAGCCGAAGAAATATAAAGATTTTGTAATGCTTACATATCAAGCAGCTATAACAGGACCAGATAAGGACAAATGGAAAGCTGCAATAGAAGAAGAAAATCAAACATGGAAATATGTGGAAAAATCTGAAGTTGAAGGACAGAAGGTTTTAACAAGCCGATGGGTTTTCAGAATCAAAGAAGATGGACGATACAGGGCGAGACTAGTCATAAGAGGATGCGAACAGGAATATGGGATTGATTTTACAGAAACTTTCAGTCCTGTAGTCAATAGCTGTTCAATATGAATTTTGATCGCAATTACTGCCAACAGAAACCTATTCATGAATATCTTTGATATAAAAACTGCTTTTTTATATGGAGAGCTGAAGAAAAGGATTTTTATGCATATTCCTGAAGGTTTTGAGGAAAACAATAATGTTTGTCTATTAGAAAAATCCTTATATGGACTGAAACAGGCACCTTTACAATGGAACCAAAGATTTACGAGTTTTTTGAAAAAAAGAGGACTAATTTCTTTAAAAGCAGATCATTGCATTTTCAAGAATGAAAAAGAAACTTTATTTTTGGCAATATATGTTGACGATGGTCTACTTCTAGCAGAAAATGAAGAAGAAATGGATATTTTATTACAAGATTTGGGCGAAGAATTTGAAATTGTGAAGAATAAAAACCCTACTACATTTTTAGGAGTCGAAATCGTAAGAGAAGAAAATAGTATTGGACTTTGGCAAAAAGATTATGTAGAGTCAATTTTGAGAAATTTCAATATGGAAGAAGTGAAACCAGCATCCACACCCATGATAACAATAGATAGAAATCGAGAGCATACGCGATTTGAGAAGGACTTTCCATTTCGAGAAGCAGTTGGAAGCTTACTATATCTCATGAATAAAACTCGACCAGATATTGCATTTTCAGTAAGCTTCTGTAGTCGAAAAATGGAAAAACCTACTATTCAAGATGTTTCAAATCTAAAGAGGATATTGAGATACTTGAAAGATACAAGTGACGAAGGAATACAATATATGAAGAATTCAAATCAGTTTGAATTAATTGGATATAGTGATTCGGACTTTGCTGGAGACATCGAAACAAGAAAAAGCACAACGGGCTATGTTATTTTCTTCTGTGGTGGACCAATTTCATGGTGTTCAAGAAAACAGCCGATTGTAGCTTTATCTACGACGGAAGCGGAATACATTGCCGCAGGAGATTGTACCAATGAATTGATATATTTGAAATCATTAATAGAAGAGTTGACGAATCGTTGTATTAAGATAAAATTGAAAGTTGATAATCAGAGTTCAGTTAGACTCATAAAATATGGACAGTTTAATCGAAGAAGTAAGCATATCGATGTGAGATATCACTTCATCAACGAGAAGGTCAGCAATGGTGATATCGACATAGAATATTGCTGTTCTGAAAATCAAATAGGAGATATTTTCACGAAGCCTCTTGGGAATCTGAAATTCTTCAAGCACAAGAATTCTCTTCTTGTAAAATTTTGAATGTTGATTGTTCTTTATTATTCAGGAATGTGATGATTAGGAGAAGGTGTTGAGAATAATAATCATCACATTTAAATGAGTTATACTAACATCCTATATCGTGTTGAAATAATTGAATTTGTTTACTGTCAGATACTTCATAAGAATTCAATATACGTTTTGAATATAAAAAATTCTGGTTGATCTTCATAAGATTGTTGAATTAATATAATAATAAAAACCCGATATCCGAACAAGTAAGGGAGAGCAGGGTGAATGAGAGCTTTATATATTGTGGTAAATTTCGCAAGAAGTGGAGAAACCACAATGTTGAATCATTTAGGAAAAGGTGTGAATATACATATTTCCATCTTTATATTGAAAATGGAAGCATGTTTTCCTTTGAAACATTCGAAGCTGAAATGGAAATATAGATTGTAACCACTGATTTATCGTTGATACACATATATATTGAAATAGTTCTTATATTTCCATCCATAGAGGCGGAAAGGAGAGATTTTCAGAAAACTAGAGAAGTGATCGCCAATGATCACTTCCTCAAGGAACTTGGCGAGGCGATATTATAAGTCGATATGTGTGAACCGTTATCAAAGTGCCCAATGCAGAAACCATGAATGGAGTGAATATTTACATAGTCATTGTTGGTATCCTGTTATATCTTTTCATATTATTTCTACTTCGATATTCAAGTAACAGTTGAATCAACAGATTAATGAATGTTTATTGAACCCATATGAATTTTTCGAACCTATATATCATCAAAAGAGAGCGGCTTCTTATTTTCCATATGAAATTGGAATGAACATGTGATTTGAATACTTGGAAAGATTCAGATTAGGACAATGACAGTCATTTTTTCAAGTAATAACCTATTGCAGGACACTGATGGTTGATTTCAAAGTGTTTCTAGGTATAACCCTATCCAAATTGGGTATCCATACATAAAATATTATTACATTCGTAGTTCTCTGATATGAGTTATTATGCTGGGATTATTATTTATTGCGAACTCTTACTTCTTAATTGAATGATCGAAAGATATATTGTTATATGAATTTGAACGATTGAAAGAATATCGAAATATTCACTGTTCAATCTGAACCACTTTTGTCATAACCATATTACCTCCTATTCCATGGGACATTCCCAGAATCCCGATTCCAATACCTGACACGAACAGTGGTTTCACTATTGGTCCCAAAATAACAGCTGAAATTCCCCTGGACTCCTTGCTCGATATCATGATAGCCATCAAAGGCAATCCAAGGAACAGTAGGGCCCATAAGCATTGTAGTTTCTAGATTACAAAAAAAACTCATTATCCATTCGAATAATTGAATATCCTCCCCTTCATTCCTAAACTGGTTGTTGGTAATATTCGAGACAAATGAACATTTTCCGTTCTCATTGAGAGATAGCGATTGAAAAAGAACCTCTGGGTCTCAAAGCTCAATTCAAATATTGTTATGAAGATGTGCAAAACACGAAACTGTACGTGATTGCAACAAATGAATCTAAATTGGAAGTTTATAATGTAGAATGAGCACCTGATTGAATATTCACAGATTTTCAAATTATTCAGTAACTCATTCATTGAATTGTTCAAATTGATGTCCATCTTTCCTAAAACAATTGCCACACTTTCTCAATACGTCTCAATGTAAGAGGCAAAACAATCTTGAAGAACTTCGTGCAACAACAGAGACAGTTTTTCAAGAATTTCGAAGATATCCTTTAATGATTTTGAATGCATCAAGACGTATTGAGAAAGTGTGTGACAGGAAATGGACATCAATTCGAACAATCCAATGATCAAGTTACTGAATAATTCCGAAATCCAATTGTTTTAATCAACAGTGCTGTTCCTGAGGTGGCGTATGAAGTTAGTAACAATATCTACACATGATACACATGGGCTGAAGGACCTATGGTGAAGTCGATGGCCAGTTGGTATGTACATACATCTGTTATAAAGGAATTAGACTCGGAATTAGACGTTATATCTGCGGTCGGAAATATGACTAGGGATTTTGATCAAGTAAACGGTGTTTCAAATAGGTAGTTCAAGACCAGTAGTGCGCCGACCGATCCCCATCCACCTATTTATTTTCAATTTATTTCAATCAACAATTTACACTGTAACGTCCAGAATTGAAGATGTTGAAATCCTTCTACATACAGGAAGTGAATTAGCAAGGAGAAGCTGAAAAATTATCATGAATAGCCGTAAAGCGCTAAGCTTTATAGTTATCAGGTCTGAAATGATTTAGGAATGCCAGGAAAACTGAACGAGCTCACCAACAGAAACACAGTCACCATTTTTGCAAGATCAGCAGCCGTGCTGTACCAGAAAGAATATAAGGGAAGAGGAAGCTAAACAGATACAGGGTGAGTCATGAGGAACTGTACACACTCCAATCACAAATAGAGGCACCTGAGAAGAAAACCTAATGGCCATCAGAAAGTGTCTGCTTCTATTCTTCACTAATATATAGGATGAATCATAGGATGCGGCAAAAATATATTTTGGTCATAACTTTCTAACAGCTTTTTCGATTTGTCTAATTTTTGCATGGAATATCTTGCTACTACAATCTTATCGACTGACTCATGTAGAATTAGAAGAAGTTCATCCTGTATATGTTTTTTGTGAACTGTGACAGGGAAAATTCAAAAGTCACAAACAATCATCGAAAATGAAATATCCGAAAGTTCTCTCAAACTTTCACACAATTTTTTGAAGAAGACGAAATTTTTGCAACTAATACACTTATTCGGGTCCATATACATCATCAGAACGTATCGACACAGACCGTCGATTAGTAGGAATTTATTTGACTAGAATAGTAAGAAATCAGAATAGCAAATCATCAGAACCATATTTCAGCGACTGCAATATGTACAACCCGTAATTTGTCGAACCGTACTTTGACAGACTGCATTATGTCAGAATGCATAAATCACAATAGTATATCGAAAGACTGCCATATATTCAGAAGTGTACTTTGCCAAACCAGTAAATAAAATACTCTTCATGTCGTCAGAATCATAAAAATATATAATCGTAAAGTCATAGAACCGTAAAAGCACAGACTGTAATTCAGCGACCCGTACTCTGTAGACCACCATTTCATCAGAATGAACATTCCCGACCAGCAAACTGGCAGAATTGTGATGTACAGAATCTGAAAATGGCAGAATGCGAAAAGTTCATACCCGTAAAAAGACAGACTGTCGATTTTTGATACCCGTAAAATGAAAGATCCGTACAATGACAGACTCGTAAAAGCACAGACTGCCAATACTCTAGATCCGTAAAATGCTAGAACCGTACATCGACAGACTCATAATCCATCGGACTACCGGAATTTCCGATCCATCGGACTACCGGAATTTCCGATCCATAATTCATCAAAACCGTAAAACGACAGACCCGTAAAACAGCAGAATCGTAAAATGACAGACTCGTACAATGGCAGAAACGTGCAGCTACCAAACCCGTAAATTTTCAGAATTTTTTGGATTAAGACTCGTAAAATAGCAGAACCGTAAAATGGCAGAACCGTACATTGACAGACCCGTAAAACATCAGAACCGTACATCGACAGACCGTCAATATACCAGAATGTGTGAGACGCGTGGAGACTCGGAACAAGCGGTAGCGCATTGTTGCCAAGTTGAATCGATAGAAATTCCTTGCTATACCTACTCAAATCTGATTCAAACTGTTTTATGAAGAATTCTAGAGGGCTGAGAAAGGTTCGTACATTGTAGTATTTGTGTTTGATAATCTGTTTGATCCGAATCAGGAAGATATTGACATAATTTGATTGTATCAAGATAAAGAAGTATATATCATTCTTTTTGTTGAAAAATTATGTAACAAAACATCAGACATGTGAATATAACGATGTTTTCTATGTATAATAGGTGAATCTATTCTCGGAGATTCTATAAGGCAGAAATGGAATCATTGTATGTTCATTTCTGAACATATAAATATTGAAGAAAAACATCAAACTTTCAAACTTTTCTATAGTCCAATGGTCTGAGATTCGGATCAGAGTGTATACCTTTCAATTTGATTCTCCAATTAAATAGTAGATAATATAAATAAATAACTTGTAGCATTTGTATATCGCTATTTCGTTTCGGGAAACCTACTCCCCAAGAGTTTTCGAATCTAGTGATTTCTTATTGTCAATTGTGCTTGAATCCCTCACATGACTTCAGTTATAGATTATAATATATAGGGTGTCCCAAAATTGCTCTACTTGAAGTAGAGGTCAAAATAAGTTGATTGGACCCAATTCGTTTATATACCAAAATGTTCCGTTCGTCAATGGGGTACTTTGTATGTGATCAATGAGGTACTTTGTATGTGATCAATTTCATTTGCGTCTCGGATATCATAATGACTTCATCTATCTTCCATGAAATGTCAAATCTCAAGGAATGGCGGCTCGAAATACCGCCTGTTGGTTGATCGAGGAGGTGTTACATACATTTTACTTGATTATTTGGGATTTTCCCTCCTCGTTTCTACAAAATAATATGAGCATAATTTCAATATACAGTGTGGTCATTTAAGTGTGCAACATATGGAAATCTTCTTAATGAATTGCACAACCAAAATACAGATAGTGCCAAGAGTTGGTGCATGTTCGATCATCATTTCAGGTGCACTCAGAATAGTTGCAAGTCAAACAGCATACAGGGTAGGTAAAAAGATATAAAAAGTGCTCAGGAGTAAAGTACCCGTATTTAAAAAAATTCAGCAGAATGTTATTGAGAAAAGTTGTTCACAATTAAAATTCATACCTAAATACCAGAACATGGCTTCCTAAGACATTCTTCAGTTCTTCAATTCCTTTCGTTAATAAATTTCCATTTTTTTTCAAATTCGAGCATATTTTTGCATTCAACTTGGATTTCAATTTTTTTAGGAAATCACAAACTTCATGTTTGTTGCAACGATATTCAGCTCAACTTTGAAATTTTGCGAACCCTATTTTCAACAAGGTAAAACATCATTAATGATAATATGCATATTCAAAAACCTTCATTTAATGTGAACATTTTGTATTTGAAATGTTTATGAAAAAGCTGAACAAATTGATCGACAACCATGATATCTTTTGAAAAATCAAGGACACCCAAGGAACAGAACAAATGAGGGTTGACAGTAAATATTGAGGCAGTATGGTGACATACTCCTTATCTAATGATGTTTTACCTTGTTGAAAATATGGTTTGCGAAATCTCAAAATCAAGCTGTATATCGTTGCAACAAACATCAAGTTTGTGATTCCCTAAAAAAATAAAATCCAAGTTGATTGCACAAAAGTGCATTAATTTCAACAAAAGTATGATCAACTGATTTTGTTATGATCAAATTATGAAAGTGTTTAGGGTGAATATGAAAAAAAAATACAAATTGGGAAGTTATTGATGGAACAAATCGAAACACTAAAATATGGCCATGTTTTGGTATTCAGGAAAAACTTTCGATTGTAAAGAACTTTCTTCCATAACAGTTTGCTGAATTTTCTGAAATAAGAGTACTTTACTCCTGACTTTTTTATATTTTTTGACCTACCCTGTATGCTGTTTGACTTGCAACGATTCTGAGTGCACCTTGAATGATTACCGAACATGCACCAACCTTTGACACTATCTGTATTTTGGTTGTGCAATTCATCAAAAAAATTTCCATATGTTGCACACTGTACAAGTACAGAGGATTTGCCCCAAAATTTTACTGAAATTCAAATGGCACTCTGTATGAATAATTTTACGTAAGTCGATAGAGCGAAAAAATACCTTTCAAATGACATTTGTTTTCAAAATGGCGGATCATGCAGGAACCTTTTTGTCTGCAATCATCATGGACACATTGTGACGTCATCCGTCGAATTTTTGGCAAGCATCCTTATAAAATAAAAAATTTACGAAGCACTTGGATTAGTTATTGATGGAACATATTTTTCAACGCTTGAAGCGCACGAAAGGAAATCTCTATGATAATTTGTTTTTATTAAGTCATCATTTCAAACAATTTTCTTAGTCTTAAATTCCCCCAAGAATGTGAAATAGGAATGGTACTTTATTCAAGGAAAGTTCAGTATGAAGAGGTCATTATGTTGTTTTTATAGGAATATTGAGGAATGTTAAATGAAAAAGTTGTTTGAAACCACCCAAACTTTTATTTTGTGTAGTTGTTTTATATACAGTGTAATTCGTTTTTTCGGGTAGGCTAATAGCTTTGTGTTTTTTTTTTCAATGGAACACCCTGAA